GCGCCGCATCCCCTCCCGCCGGGCTGCCACGGCGGGGGCTAAGCGCAGCAATAAATAAGCCAAAATACACTGACTGCGGGCACAGCCCTAGTGTGTTTGTGTAAAACTCACGGTTGCCCTCGTTAAGCGGCTGCGTTGCCTGCAGTCACAGGGGAACAAAGTGAAACTACTGTTGGAGATCTCTGGAAAAAGAGCTAAATGAATTATTCTTAGCTTATTTGATGTATGTGTCCAGTGGACTGTGAGACAGGTCCCAGTTGTAGATCTTGCAGTTTGTCCTGGCTAAAGGCGAAGTTCACCAAAGGCTGAGGCAGAGGTCGTACTGCCACTTGCAAAGGCATCCTCTGGAGTTTTGAGCCTGTGGAGCCGTTTCACATGCGGCAGAGTATGAGTCATCCTAATGAAAAGGGTAAAGAAGATTTTTTTAAAGAAATATATCGCAGTTAAATTAGTTTAGACAGCATGACATCAGAGAGTAATTAAATAGGTTTGTTGGAATTCCGTTTCCAATTCCTGAGTTCAGGTTTGTAAAAGATTTCTGAGCACCTGCAGTTCTCTGTGTGTGAAATATTTTCACTGGAAAGGATTCAAAACTTTAAAAAAAACCTTTTAACACAGAGGCAGCATTACGCCATTCTTCCTTCTTGGAAAAAAAAAAAAACCTTGGATTTAAACAGGACTCCTTCAAGTTTTCAGTCAGTTTTACAGAAGAAAACGAGGTGGTAAACTTTCTCTTTTCAAGAACAAGGTCTTTATAGCTGCTAACTGAAGTCAGGAGAGATTGTGTCTGAGTACATGAGCATTTCCACTATGGGACTGGATACAAGCATTGAACAAGGAGATTTGAAATGTTTTGATCTCAAACGAAAACTATTTTTGCTGAGTTTGGTTTTTAATTTCTTTCATGTTTTCTTCTGCCAAACTGGAGGAACCTTTTCTGATTTTTTCTTTAGTGGTATTCAGAGGAAGACTAGAGGATGAAAATCCTGCATTTTCTCACTTTACTGCTTTGGCATTTGACTTGGCTGTCTCTGGATCTAGTTCCTGGAGCACTGAGTAATTCTGAAGCAGGCCAGGGCAATCCAGGATCTAAACTAGGGTTCCTAAAAGCAGAAGAGAAGGAGAGGAATCCCTCTGCACGGGCAAGTTCAGTGAGGACTGCAAGCCATGGATATAGTGCTGGGACCTCAAAGGCAAGGACTAAAGGCAGTGCTGTTCAGGCAGGAGTTCTGCTGGCCAAGAACGATGAGTCAAAGAAGGTTCCCTCAAGAACAGCTGCCACGGAGGGCAAGGTAGGACATCTCCCCAGCAGAGCTTCTGGAGTAAGGACAGTGACTCCAAAGGTTCAAAACCTTAACAGCAAGGTGGCTTTGAAAAAAACTGGCACAAGCAGTACTGACACTGATGCTTTCAAAACCAAAAAGACTAAAGAGCCTGTACCCCAGAGGGAAGCTAAAGAAACCTTCCGACATCCCCTGATAACACCACATGAATACATGCTCTCTTTGTACAGGACTCTTTCAGATGCAGAAAGAAAAGGTGTTAATGGAAGTGTAAAACTGGAGGCTGGACTGGCCAATACAATCACCAGCTTTATAGACAAAGGACAAGGTAAGAAAGGAACTCATGTGTGAGTGAGTGTGGACAGAGAGAGGTGTCTGAGTGTGTTTATACATGTAGAGAGCATTGGAAAATAATCATACTTTGGTAAAGTCAAATAGCTCTTTTTAATGTAAATGAAATCACACAACTTTGCTGCAGATTTTGTCCTTCTGTCTTATCTCGGAAAACTCATTTAGAGGCAGAACTAGATGGTTGTGTGGCAGCCAAGCAAAACATTCAGGAAGTCTTTTAGATGCATACTGTTGAAAATTAATCAGTCTGTGCATGCTTAGGTGTTTAAAAACCTTTTACATTTCTGTATTATTTTGTTTCTGACTAGTTGGAAATTAGCTACTGGAAACTGCTAATGTTAGACTGTGTTGCAATGTCTAAAACCACATGATTTCTGTGAAAAACACACAGGTTTCAGTATCAAAGGGTCAGTCTGGTTTGTTCAAGGTAGAAATGTGAGGAACTGCACTGCAGACCCAGGAGTCATTATAGTGTAGGGTGGGTGTATCTGTCATAGCTCAAAGCTTTCAGGTACCACCACCAAGCCCAGAGCTAAGCACAGACTAACAAGAATAATAACTTCTGTGACTCTAGAACTTCAGCATTCTAGTTCCAAATATTTTTGGAAATTTGGGCTAGTGTTTGCTTGTGCAGAAGAACTGACCTGGCTCCCAAAGGATGGTGCTCACCTCACCATGCTGGTTCTGGGGGAGCCTTGTGTTGCTTCCAGTGACATTAGTAGGAGTTTCGTCACGTACTTAAGGCAGCAACACAAGCAACAGCTGATGAAGTAATGGGGATGGAAGACTCAGCCAGGACAGGATTTGTTTGCCATTTAATTATGAATAGCTTGGCTGCTGGGAAGGGATGATACACTGCCCACCAGTGCCGCAGTCAGGTTCTCAGCTCACCACTGGAAGGCACTGCTAATGTGAAGTCACCAAAGCAGTGGCTCAGCCATATTTCTCAGCAGCTGAAACAATCAAATGTAACAGTAGGGGTAAGGGAGGAATATTCTTCTGCCCAGTTTGTAAAAGTTGTGAATCATATGGAGTTAATAAGGCAATTATCCTTGTGTCTGGCAGTTCCCTGGGGATGTTGGTTTTAAAGGGCTACTTCACTATTGTATCATCTAAGGGCAAATTTACTCATGTTTGGGGCCAGCATGAGGCTTGGCCACCACTGAAACTCTAGTTCATAATGTCAGTAGGATATAAGTGATGAATAGGTCCCCTGAGTGCCCAGCCCTGAAAAAGGATTAATTTTCAATTGGCTGATCACAACTTTGAAGGCAGAAAATAACCACTGGTGAAAGAAATGAGATTTCCACAAGGTAAACTCAGAAACTCATTTCTCTGGGGAGTCACTGTCCTCCTGGGTTCCTGCACAGAGCTGATCAAAAATTGCTCTTTCAGTTCATTAAGGCAACTTCTAGGCTTATGAGCAAACTTGAGGAAAACTATTAAGAACTGAATAACTGATGTTGCTCTGTGCTTGATCTGCATTGAAAATTGTCTGTGCTTTTTTCAGATGAGCGAGCGCCAACTATAAGGAAACAGAAGTATATCTTTGACATCAGTGCATTAGAAAAAGATGGTTTACTGGGAGCAGAGCTTCGAATATTGAGGAAAAAGCCTTCTGATACATGGAAGTCTCATTCTTCTGGCAAAACTTCCCAAGTGAAATTATTTAGTTGCTCTACAAACAGACATGCAGCAACACTTCTGGACTCTCGGACTGTCAGTATCACAGACACACCAAAGTGGGAAGTGTTTGACATCTGGAAACTTTTCAGGAACTTTAAAAACTTGGTTAATTTGTGTTTTGAGCTGGAAACTTTTGACAGGGGGAGAGCTGTTGATCTCAGGAGTGTGGGATTTAACAGAACAGGAAGACAGGTCAATGAGAAGGCTCTCTTCTTGGTGTTTGGGAGGACGAAAAAAAGAGACTTATTCTTCAATGAAATCAAAGCTAGGTCTGGCCAAGATGACAAAACTGTTTATGAGTACTTATTCAACCAGAGGCGAAAGAGAAGAGCTCCTCTGGCTACACGGCAAGGGAAGAGGCCCACTAAGAACCTGAAGGCAAGGTGTAGCAGGAAAGCCCTCCATGTGAATTTTAAGGATATGGGCTGGGATGACTGGATAATAGCCCCTCTGGAGTATGAAGCGTATCACTGCGAAGGGCTCTGTGAATTCCCCTTGCGATCCCACCTGGAGCCAACCAACCATGCAGTTATCCAGACCTTAATGAACTCTATGGACCCAGAATCGACACCCCCAACCTGCTGTGTCCCAACCAGGCTGAGTCCTATCAGCATTCTGTTCATTGACTCTGCAAACAATGTGGTCTACAAGCAGTATGAGGACATGGTGGTGGAGTCCTGTGGGTGTAGGTAGCAGAACAGTGGCTCACGTGAGAATGTTCTGAAAGGTAATATGACCCATTGGACATAAGCTTTCCTCAAAAAAGGTTAACTAGATTTCTTACCTCTAGGGTAAGGATGTTTACAAGGATGCAGCAATGAATCCAATGCTTCTATTTGTCTCTCCACCACGGGCATATCTCAGTAGCATTTGGATGCTGTTCTGCAGCTAGATATGACCTTGTGCCAGTAACACGAAACTGGCTGTAACTGAACACCATGACAGAGATTATACCTCTACACCTCTAGATCATCTGCTTTTAGCCTCGAGGCAGTGGGTAAAGATGGTATCAGTGAGCTGTGGATATGATCTGTTTAAGCCTTTGAACATTGCTCTTGAGACTGAATTTATGGCTGAGTCCCATGTGCCTTGTCCATGCAGAAATGCAAGAAAAGAGTCCTGACGTCTAGGCAGGAAGGTTGTGTTCTGGTGGGCTCCCATCTTGGTGTAAATAGTTGCACTGTAATGTGATTTTTTTCTGATTAGCTCTTGAAACCATGCATATATAAAAAGGAGTCATTAAATATAATATGTTGGTTTAGTTTTAAGTTTTACATGGAGATAGGTGATGCAGGAGGTATTTCCTGCAATGTATGTTTTCCTCCAAGCTACATATCTTTCTTAAGTATCCGCCTTTCCATTATTATGTACCAAGATATATTATTCTGTATAAGGTCCAAGTTGTTCTCAAATGCTCATAGTAAAAGTGTTCAATTATGGCATAAGATGTAATAAATTATTGACACAGTGCTACATAATGTGTAGCTGTCCAACTCTGCATAATTATAATGCTATTAAGAAATTGTTTTTAATGCTTCTGTACAGCAAATACAAGTGAAAGGGACTTTTTAGTGCAGCAGAATACCAGTGGTACGCAAAACACACCCATGTGTTTTTCTGCCACAGAGACAGACTGTGGAAGAAAGATCTGAAAGGATAGCCTGATTTGATGTGGTGGGGAATGACACTATCCCTTGATGCACCTGGGGCAAAATTGGGTTATACAGATAGCTGGAACAGAGTTCTGGTATCCTTTTATTCCACCCCCAAAGGGCTGTGGGTTTGCATATCCTCTTTATCATTCCAGACATGGATTATTAATGTATAGTGGCATAACTCGTGTATGTTTCCACCCACAAAATTTGGTATCAAATGTTCAACTGCAGAAGGAAGGCTATAAGAACCATCAGAAATCACTAAAGTTTATCAATACAAAATATAAATGTTAAGGATTGATATTGCTTAGACCATCAAGTCACATGATTTCCTGGATCTGCACTCTTCTCTGCACAGCATTACTGGGTATTGGCAGGAAGCTGAGTGTGGCCCCGAGGTTCTCCTGGTCAGTACTCCAGACTGGACATGCTCTAGCTCACACTAACAGCTAACCATCCTAAATTCTTGGTCAACAAACAGTAATATAAAGCTGTGCCCTTCCTCTTGCGCTCTCTGGGCAGTTGAACCTTTAACCAGCTTAAAATACCTGTATAAGCAGCCTTGCTGCCAGACCCCTGGAGATCCCCTGTACAGGCAAACCTGTTGTGTACCCTTACCTACAGCTTGATGATGCAGAAACAGCACTGCAGGGAGGTTTGGTACATGGGATTTCTTTGTGGCAGCTCAGCACCATGGTTCCTGTCTGCAGGGCAGAATGCTGCCCTTGCCAGGAGGGAGAATCACAACACACAAAGACACAGAATGATGAGACTTGAAGCTTCTCTGTAACAAGCACATGAGAAATTCTGGCAGCTTATGGCTCTGTTTTGTGGGTCAGGGTTGTGTCAAGGGCTCCTCCATCTGCTTTCTGTACTCTCAGTGTGCTTCCCAGGTCCTGCTCTTCCCTGTCCTGAGAGAGCCTTAGGACAGGCCCAACAGTTACTAACTGCTTATAGCTAGCCACTCTGGTGTGGTTTTCAACACAAGTCTAAGATTTCCTACAAGCCAATTTTGATATGATTTACCATTGCTACAGCAGGAGAGAAAACATTCTCCTTCCAAGTCCACAGCCAAGAGGGCAGCTCAGGCTTTTTCTGCCCATTCTGTTGAAGCAGTTCTTTTTCTGCTCCTGGCTGATTCCAGGTGACTGCCTTGCATCTTTTAAGGATCCTTTCTCTAGCACTGGCTCCAGCTACCTCCTGGAGAGGCTGGCTAGATGACCATGCCAAAGAGTTTCCTCCTTTCTTACTTGTGTGAGAGTGCCAGTCCACGCTGAAATGTGCTCTGTCTCTGCTCTGATAGACACAGATGTGCCATGCCATGTACTCACCCCACAGGCACATTCCTCAATGGCTCAGAGTGATCAGTTTGAAATAGCAAATGCTGCCTATTTAAATACACTTGAAGCAAATCTAAATTGTCTTAACAGCCAAGTTAACTCCTGGGATTAGGACTGCCTGCACAGGGCAGTTTGCTCCAGTTCCAGCTCATGAGATGCTGCAACAGCTTTGGTGTAAGGTAGCACTGGTGTTAAACCCAAGGCACAACAGTTTGAGAAGGAAAATTCCTGTTCAGTTCACACTGCAGAGCTGGTGACCTGCTTTTGAAACCTAGTAGGCATAAAGCTCTTTGAGGTCTTTGCTTCCAGTCCTGGTATGGATGTCTCAGTGCATGAATAAAGCAAGATAAAGGTTCAGGTAAATGGTATTTAAATCGAGTATGTATCAGCATCCAGATGGAAAAATATTGTAAGATTTTGCAATTACCCCAAAGCAAACAGTATGAACTGAGGAAAAAATAAAAGAAATACTGACAAATGGAACTCCTATAAAAAAAACTTTGATAATGGTTTAAAAAATCCAGATTCTGCTTGGCAGTAGTTATACCTTGAAGGAAAAACTAAAAACCAAGCCATGAGTAGGTCTTTAATATCAGTTTAAACAGATCAGAAACCACAGACACTAAAATACTGGAATTACCCTGGATTATTACTGCTTCACAATTGAGTTTGGCCCAAACAGAAGCAATTTCAGCCCAACTGTTCAGGTTAGGAGGTAACATGAAATTCACTTTGCTTGGCTGGTAGCTCAAACGTAGTGACATCCAGAAGGGACAGTCCTGGCACTGCTCAGGTTCAGTTCAGCTCAAAGTGAAGTGTTTATAATGGTTGGCATAGGAGTAGGGTAGTTTTTTCACTCTTAACTCTCAAACTGAGTGTCCTTGGTTTGTGTCACCAGTTATCAAGCAATGCTGTGATGTCTGGAGTGTCCTTTTACATTTAAATTATGAAACTATTTGATAACTCTGGGAATTCCAGTTCAATGCTGGTTTATTCTGGAATGCTGTACTGCCTTTCCCCATGGTATAAATGTGTAGTAGCCTGTAGGTGTATTATTGGTGCATTGTTGGAGGCATTTGGATCACCTGGCACAGACTTCTGTCTCTGTAATTAATTATAAGGTATATACTGAGTGGTTGGGATGGCTTAAATTTACAGCGTTGAAGGGAGTGACCTCTTTCACTGCTCTTCTCAAAGCAGTTGCTGTTACTCTTAATTCTAAAATTTCAATAACAACAAAAAGGTGATGCCACAGTGAATTGCCTTTTCTTTCATTTATGAATTCCCCATATCTATTCAGTGTCTACTCACAAATCATTGCCAATCTTGCCAAGACCTTCCATGGAAATCTGCTGTTTCAGATATCTGTCAAGAGAACAGAAGCATATATTGAAAATTCCCAAGGTACATGAATGTCACTGATGAGCACGAATGAACAGCCCAGCTGGACTTCACTGAACCCTCATTCTGCTCCAAAGCCAGACAGGTTTTTCACTCAACCCTCATTCCACTATAAAACCAGAGGTTTAGGGATAGGGGCTGACACACAGCAAAGAAACTGGAAAGGAACAGAGGACCCTGACCTTTGAGAAACTCACAGTGAGCTGCAGTGTGCACTAGCCGCCCAGACACCCAATCGAATCCTGGGCTGCATCAAAAGGAGTGTGGCTAGCAGGTTAAAAGTGATGATTCTCCCCCTCTGCTCTCGTGAGACCCACCTGGAGTACTGTGTGCAGTTCCGGTGCCCACAACGTAAGAAGGACATGGAACTGTTGGAGCAAGTCCAGAGGAGGCCACAAAGTTGATCAGAGGACTGGAGCATCTCCTCTGTGAAGACAGGCTGAGGGAGTTGGGGCTGTTCAGCCTGGAGGAGAGAAGACTGCGTGGAGACCTCAGAGCAACTTTTCAATATCTGAAGGGCCTACGAGGAGCCGGAGAGGGACTCTGTGTTAGGAACTGCAATGATAGGACAAGGGACAAGGGGTTTAAACTGAAGGAGGGAAAGTCCAGGTTGGATGTGAGAAAAAAGTTTTTTACTATAAGGGCGGTGAGACACTGGAACAGGTTGCCCAGAGAAGTGGTGGCTGCCCCAACTCTGACAGTGTTCAAGGCCAGGATGGATGAGGCCTTGAGCAACCTGATCTAGTGAGGAGGTGTCCCTTACTATAGCAGGGGAGTTGGGACTAGATGATCTGTAAGGTCCATTCCAACCCTTAAAATTCTATGATTCTATGACATTGGTCAAGGGAATGGTGGAATCACCACTTGTGAAAGTGTTCACCAAACGAGTGGCACTTGGCGATGTGGTTTAGTGTACGCAGTGGTACTGGGTCAAAGGTTGGACTTGATGATCTTGGAGGTCTTTTCAGACCTTAATAATTCAGTGATTGTGTGAGTGCAGGAGTTTGGCACTACTTGCTTTAGCCTGGTTATTATATAATGTGCAAAGATAGACACCCTCAGTTACTGTTACAGCTTTCTTCCCATGGGTGAGTTGGTGTGAGCAACTGGATGGTAGAAAGGCAGAGAAACCTGAGCTGTAAAGCAATACAGGTTAAAAGTTCAGCTTTCCACCTTTATGATGGCAAGTTTCACTCTCTCACTGAGAATGCCTCATTTGTATTTACTTTTAGGGTCATTATCTGTCCCACGAGAGTCTTTGTGAAGGTCCAAATTTCAAATAAACAGTACACTCTAAGACAGGTATGTGTAGATAAT